ACTATTCTTATTATGTTAAGGTTCTAGATATTATAATAATAGACAAGGGTCATATACAGTAATATGGTACGTAGGAAGCAATGGTAATAGATTATTAGTTAATGATATGGTATTTAGTATTAAGTTAAGTTGTCTTATGTTATGTGGTCATACAGCATAAGTTGTAGGTAGATAATGTTACGGTATTGAGAGAGGAATGTACTTTGTATAGCAATGAGGTTAGTATGGTATAAGTACATGATATGGTTTTATTGTGTCATATTAAGGTTCATAAGTGATAAGTCAGTGTAGGCAATGAAGGATAAGAACATACCCACTTATATAGCAAGGTTAATATATGATGTAGGTAACATTAATGGTTGTACATAGGTAATAGTATATTATTAAGATATTATACTGGTATAGCAGAATTAATACAATGTATCGTGTTAGTATCATAATGTTATAAATTGTATGTATAGGAATTGTACGCTATTAAGATAAAAAAATGTACTTATATATAGGAAGGTTAATAATTATGGTATAGGTCTATAATTTGGTTTTCATCAAATGGTTTTGCTATATGTAAAGGGTCATAGGTTATATAAGTAACTGCAGTGTGGAGATATCTCACTATTCAAGTATTTTCTCAACATGTACTGTTAAGCTATTATTGGTGTGTTTGTATAATATTAGTTGTCCCTTACTGGTTCTGTATGTATGTACATGTACCAGTGCCCATATTTCATATTCTTGTTTTAATATGTTAGTGTCTGCATGTTCATGTGTGCATGATAATATATTATTATGTTTTTGTTCGTGTATGTACACGTGTCGTGTTTGTACACGTGTCGTTGTGTTTGTACACGTGTCCTCACGTAGCGTAAAACTGCAACGTCTCCTGGTCTCCAGTCTTGCTTTCTCTGGACAATGTTTGTCATCATTGGATCACTCCACCTGCTTGCAAGAAAACTTCAATCTTTTTTGGTATTTTCAATCACATCAAAGTATCATTTGTTACCATGCATCATGAATTAATTCAGTACCTTGTGAGAGCTAATGTATCAATCAAGAACATTCCATATGATTTACTAATGGCTCTTTGGAAGGACATCAGCTAACAAGGAGGTTGTCACTGATGTGGACACAGCTATAGTACTTTCCACTGCTATCATAGCATTGAGGCTCAAGCATCCAGCACTAATCTACAGTTTACAATATTGGATCTTCATCTAATACTAGCATTCTGAGAGGAGGAAGGAGAAGAACTGATAGACTACCAGAGGAGGAGAGGAGAACATATCCAATTAAATGAAGACATGAGCATATTTTTTCACTGTATGGGTTGAGCTACCCTTTTTTACAGTGACCTGCTTTTAGTCCCAATCATGTGAGAGGGAAGGGGAGGGTCAGCGGAGGGGAGAGTGTTTCGCCCAGGAGTGTGGGAGAAGTCGTGTCCCCCTTTTGGGTCGGATCGAGGCACCCAGTATCTCATGCTTGGAACCCTCTCTTCTCCTCTTTCACTCTCTTTCCTTTTTGTGTGATATGGACTCTAAGCAGAAGAAAGGATCAGACTTTTCTTTTTCTTTTTTCGTCTCGATCCTTTAACTACTTAAAAGCAGGCAAACACTATACAGTTGAGCTAAGCCAGGTTACGGTGGGTAGATTGGTGAGGTTTGTGATGCAGGTAGCTTGATGAACCTGGGCACTAGCTTCCTAATTCTCATTCTGATCTCTTTCTCGATCCCGTGGCTTTGACTTAGGATCAATTGTTTAGTGTTTGCCTCACCTTTCAAAATAAGTCAATAACTTTCATTGTAGGTTTATGATCAACGTAGCGTTGAAATTACATGCGTGTGATCTGACGTTTTGATGCAAGTAACGGTTTACATTGACACGATATTTGCGAAATCTCAATTCTGTGTCAATTGTCTATTGTTATTTTATAGGATGCACAATTAATTCTTAATGTAATAATTATTCTTGATAATATGCACATTGTGTGGTAGATTGTGTATTAAGACTACTCATTATGTTGATGTTGTAGAGGTTAAAATATTTAGACAGTAGTGGTGGGAGGCAGTAATAGGTCATTAGATAATGATACAATATTAAAATAACTTGTCTTACATAGTGTATACAAAATAAGTTGTAGGTATAGGTAAGTATTGTAGTAGAAATTAGGAAGCAGGTATAGTTATATTAAGCTATGGTGTAGTTATTGTGTAGTAGAAATTAGAAAGTAGTTATAGTATAGAAATTAGGAAACAGGTAGTTATAGGATACAGGTTATATAGTGTACGTATAGGTTATAGATCTAGGTTTTATGATTTATTATTATTAAATTATTATTATCGTTTATAATTTTTCATTTTTTATGATTTATTATTATTTATTATTATTCTTTATTATTATTTTTACAACCTGGGCCTCAGCAAGAGTGTTGGGCCAGGTTATATAATTTTTGGGCAGCAGTGTAGTGCCGCCTCCACGTGGCGCTGCCTGGGATCACTAGTGGTTACTACTGCTAGTGATGCTAAGAGCACTACATACAAGAAGAAAAATAACAATACTAACAGTAAGTTTGTGTAAGGACTTTAATATTATCATTGATAGGTTCAAGCTGAAATAAAGATGAAATGTCAAGTGGATCGATACTCAACACTGAAGCTAGAGATTTATATACTAGTTTTAATTTTTTGAAAAATAATTCTTTTAAATTTTGATTGCATGTATCTATGGCAATTTGAACTGTCATTGCCAGCTCTACAACTACTACTGTGCAGCATGGCCAAATGAGCCACCAACACATGCACATCTTTTTATAATGAATGTACAAAAAATATTATGTTGTGTAGAAATTCTATTAAAATTTTAATTTTTAAGGTTCCAAATTTATGTGAAGATGTACATATATGATGTATCTATATTAATTGAGTTCAGTGAAAGTTAAAATTTTTGTCATTAAAATGAAATAATCTTGAAGACTTTACTGACTGCAATCAATAGGAAAGGAAGAAATTCACTCCAGTCTCCTAGTAGTGGTATAAAAGGGCCAAACTTTATAGCCTCCTAGTTTTTATACATGACATGCATTGTTTTAACTGCTTTTATACAGTAGCTATAGACCTATATATGCACCATGAACTAATTGCAGCCAGCCACCCACGTGTTCTCACATTTCAAAATGGCTGCTCAGGCAAAGTTAAGCTCGAAGTTAAGTGCTTAAAGAGGGAAAAGAGAAGCTATTCACTCCTTCAGACCCACCAAGAAGAAAGAAAGAACAGACTAAGACAGTTTACTAGGACCAAGTACAACCTGAGATACAACCAGAAAAAGAAATGCTACTAATAATAAAAATGATCCTCGAAATCCTCGTACAGTATTTATTGATAACATTCCTCTGTCAACTAAAAAGAAGGACATACTCAAGCTGGTCTTCCCCTTTGGTTCGGTCGAGTCACTACGGCAACGATCAGTTGTGGTTTCTCCTGGTAAGCTTCCTGTTGGAGTTGCTAGGAAACTCGGAAAACAGTTGACAGGGACGACTACTAATTTCTATGTTGTTATGGAGATGGAGGAGTCAGCTAGTGCTTGTTTGGAGTTGAATGGACAAGAGGTTGATGGGAGGCATATTAGGGTTGATCTGGCCACACCTACTAATGACACTCACTGTTTTGTGTTTGTAGGTAATGTACCTTTTGGTGTTAATGAAGAGAAACTGAGAAAAGTATTTGAGTAAGTACATGTACATGCATGTATCCACCAGATCCGTGTGAATGAGATGCATGATATTCATAGACTTTTTAATGATATTCATTTGGATACCGTAAATGAAGAAATTATTCTGGCCGCCATGTTGGAGGTATACTTTGTACAGTCTTCAATGGGGAAAAGGTGTTATTTTACCGTTTTGCCAGCAG